GAGAGTGGGTCATTCAGCCCTCTGTAACCAGCTGCATTCCCAGATTAGTTTGTATTGCCTGCATGGAACTACATGGAGCAACCCTGTTTTGCCACACGTTTTGGATTCCCAAGCTGAAGATAGGAGGGGACAGATCTCCATACTTGGCAGTCCCTCCAGGAAGGAGCAAACAAAAAAGTCCTGGCAATCTACTACAGATTGTACTTATTTATTTCAGTTATTGATATGCCCACCTACGTGAACAACTGGGTAGATGGAATGACTGGCCATCGGATCCCAACCCTCCTCCTCTTTGCTGTTGCTGACTGTTTACTATTACCCTTTCTAAATATACAGGCTATGATCAGAATTGGGAGATAAACAGCAGAACCCCCAGTCTCCATTGGTATATTAATCTACTCTTCTGGGCAGTTACTTGGATTGGGTGTTGAGGAAATGGCCAAGCAAGTGGACAGTGAGGTCTTCCCCAAACTGATGTTCTCCAGATACCCCAGATGTCCATCCCCAACTACCATAGCTCTAGTATTATGGGAACTGTAGTGCAGCGGTCAGGGAAGACTATCTGAAACCCAACCAGCAGAGATCCCATTTTTACATAGGTTCTCAATTTTTTCTTCGCAAGGCAGGAGGCAACGCCATCATTCTTCCATTCACAGAGCAATATGGCCTGCAAGACAACTGCATTGGTACCAGTTATTTCATACACCCAGAAAATGGATCAGTCAAACATTAAATACTAAGGACCTTCCACTCAAAAAAAAGGAGGGAGGGAGTTTTGTTGGGGTTCACCAAGATGATCAAGGTCATCTCCAAGTCTATACATACCCAAACCACTGTGTTTCCCCTTCTCCAAATTAGAGAGACAGAATACAAATACACCCCTTCCCCATTTCAGCAAATATGTATCTTCAGATATCATGCCATAGTCCACTCATATACAAATGCACATTCCTCATATTAATTATTTCACTATAACTACCACTTCTCTATAATGAAAAAGGAGAGTATAATGATTATGGCAAAAGGATTAAGGTGGTGATAGTGGAAAATATATCCTTTTAATACTCCTTTTTACCTCTCAGCACAATCAAGAAGCAACTGAAAGGCAACAGACAAGTCTGCATTCACAGGCGCGCCAAAAAACAGGTCAGGAACACTGCAGTCCTATAACCCACGTACAGGTGGATAAGCCCCTTTGGTTTCAGTGCACAGGACTTCTGTGCAACTGTATTATCAGAATTATTGAAAAAGAAAATGCAAAGATACATTCTCAACTGCAGAAGTTCCACTAAAGCTGCTATCTCACACTCATTTACAGGGCTTTTCTGCTAAGTGGGCTTGTACTGGATTACATAGTTATTATTTTTATCTTCTCCAATAACATGGCTTTCCATTTCAGCTGAACACATATGCATGTGGAGATCTTGCAATCCATATATTTGACTCTTACACAATAAAACAACTTTTCTGCCATTCAACAATAAACTACACTTACCCAACAGTAAATTCCATTGAGTCTAACAGAATTTACTTCCATGTAAAAAGCATTGATTTGCAGCTGCTTTCTGCAGAAGAAGAAAAAGAGACATGGATAATCAGGGCTGGAAGTAGATTACTGTGTCTATAAAACTTTGTTTTAATTTTTGAGGATTCTTTTTGTAATTCCGCACTAGGGTCAAAGCCAGCCTTTCACAACCTGCACCAGCATGCTGGTTGAGGTGGTGTAGGAGTGTAATCTAACATGTTAACATGAACAACACACTGGAAAAGAGAGTTTGAACACTTTGATGACAGCTTCTGAGAAACTACAAGTCACACCTTTTTCTCAATCAGTAATCCAAGCACAGTTACAGAGAAATCGTGTACATGTTTGTTATCCTACTTCACCTAATCTCAAAACAGAGCAGCTTAAGGTCATTTGGTCTGAGAAAACATGGATGCAAATACATAGGTGGTATTCCAGCCATGATTTCCTTCTCAGTGGCTCCAGTTTCCAGCCAAGCTGGAGAGAAGGATGATTTTTTTTCCCACCCAGCCTAGGCAAAACAGAAAAGACTCTGTTGTGACCTTGCCAGTATGACTGGCAAATTGAGAGAGAAGACGGCGATGTGCACTCTGGAAGTGTGGAAACTAGATGAATGCAATTGGTTAATAACAACAAAATAAAAATGCATCCCGCACTTTTGTCCATGGCAAGAAAAACACTGAAACCATGACACAGCCAGACGTTTCTGATGGAAGGCGGCTACGTACTTCTCCCAGGTGAAGCCCTTCTAGGCACAAGCCCGTGACAACAGCAACCACCAGACAACCACAACAGCAGCGGCGGCGGCAGCAGCAGCTGGGAAGCAGCTGCAGACCCCCGTCCTGCCCGGTCCTCCGCCACTTCCAAAACCCACCCGCCCAAGCGGGTTTTGAGCTGCCTTTGGCGGATGCCCACCTACAAGGGCACCGGTGCCCTCTGTGGCCATAAAGCCCCGCCGCTTCCCTCCGCCTAAAGCCACATGGAGCCAGAGGGGAGTCCCGCTGCGCCCGTGCCCTCTGCCCGCCCCACGGTTTCTGCACCAGCCCCCTTCCCGGGAGCCTCGTCCCCCCGCCTCGCGGGCCCCTCCGGGGCCCCTGGAGAGGTCTGTTTCCCTCCCCCCTCCATCCCGACAACGTGGGCGATCCCACCTTCCTTGGCCCTCCGGGAGGGAGAGACCGGGCCGAGGGAGCCACGCATCCCGGCTTTCAGGCTCCCTCGCGGGGCATCCTTGCTCCAGGGCCGACCTGGGATTGCACGGCTGGAGGAGGCGTCTTGGAGAGGGGGGGTTAGGACCCTCCCCTCCTCTTGCTAAGCCGAGTCTCAATGGCTCCCTCCTCTTCTCTCCCTCCTTTCAACAATTAAAAAAAAAAGGGGGGGGAGGAAGGGGGGATCGCAGCCAAGG